TTAAGCATTTTATGAGGTATCCCAAATTTTAGTTTCATAAATAATCACTTGCTGTGTCATTGAAAAGATTTTCGCATAGGTTTCGGCATATGCTGCTACCATTTATCAGAAACATATAAAGCGTTGCGTACAATGATAACTCTTAAAATCTTTTGTAACTTTACTAGTATACGTTTGTTTTTCTATTGTGCATTGAGAATTACACTCAAAAACAATAAAATATGTGTTTTACAGAACATGTGACCTGAAAAGGCAATTTTTGATTCCTTACCCAATTGACGAAGTTGCAAAGGCTCAGCAATTTCACACACGGAACCAAAAAAGCTTCTCACCATAGAAGTGAGATCCCGTAAAACATCTATTGTATCTGGAGGGCAGATCTTGAATATTTCAAAACATTCAAGTTGAGCCTTTTTTCTGGTTGGTTTTCATGGCAGCTTTTAATTAACAAAGGACGAATGTAATCATGATTTGCTGTCGTCAGAAATATATAATTTTGCATTCTCTCTTTTCTAATGAAAATTTACCACGTCGAATACTGAATCCGTATTTTGCCGAATAGAAATAAACACTGCATAAAAACTTTCCCTCAAAAGTAAAATCTTTTTTTGAAATGTTGATTCGATAGAGAAGTCTTCTTTTTTCCTTCGTCCTCGCAAGGAATGTGATCGCTTTCCATTTTTTTCCCACAAATAGCGAACAATTGAATATTGTTCCTAATCTAGCTAACGAGAGGAAAGTGATCGAATTTTGGTTTTTTCTTCTCGTCGAATCCTTTAGCATTGCTTATTTCTTGCTTTTGGAAAGGAATATAATCGATTTACTCTGTTCTAAAAAACGAATTTGATAGAGTCTTTAAAAACAAGCCTTTAGAAATCTATATAAAAACTTAATTCAGATTTAAAGAAAAACATATTTTTAGTCAACTTTAATCGATTTCGAACAGATTACAATGGAATAATACTTGACTTTATTTTGATCTCATGAGTCTTTTTTTACATGGACACCATCAAACGCATTATTATTACTTTCTTTTGATTTATGAGTCCAGTCAAAGTAAAAGACATGTGCGGGTCATTGAACTGAGCGTTAGAAAAATGGTTTGACTTTTCTTTTATTGTTTATCTCTACTTTTTTTTCCTTTAATAATCTAGTAATGTGATATGTCTTGATATATTCAATTTGCTTTTAAGAAGATCCTTATTTATCTGAAAACGGACCTGGCCGAAATATTGTTGCTTTCTAGTCGTTATATAAAACTAAAAGACATTCGTATACAAAATGATTTTGAGATCCACAATGAGCCTCAGGAAAGTTTCTTTTGACAATTGAACCATAGATTAACTATGAAAGTTCTATTAAAGTTTTGTTGTTTATGGTATTCTTACGAGAAAATGTTAAATTCTTCATAGATCCACTTTTAAATATAAATAAGCTAATTTTCATGTTTCTGATCTTCATAGAAGCTCATTCTATCATATAAATATTAGCTTATATAGTCTGTTTTATACATACGGATCTGATCTAATGAAAAATCTATGTTTGTTATCTTCTAATCTCTCTAACTATAGGAAAGCATACTTGATACATATAGTTGACATATTTCATTTATGCATGTCAAATGAAAATCCTCTCGACATTGTGATAATGAATTACATGTTTCACCCTCCTATAATTTATTTTGATCCATATGACCATCCCAATACGCTGTTGGTGTAGGACATTGACATATTGCATTTTGAGAAATTAAATAGCGACTAAATTGGTAATAATGACATGTTCTATTGTACTCTAACTAGATTTGTTGTTGATATTGAATAATACCCACTCGTGATATTGAAGATGCAACGAATGTAATATTGCCTGGTAATAAATCACTTTGATATTATTGACAAGAAAATATTATTTCGTCATAAACAATTTGTTCGGCAGAAAATATCTTTATTGTATTGTTGTGCTCAGCCAAGCTACAATGAAACGTATACAGTTTTTTATTGGAATTCAAACTAACTTTTAGAAATAAATGGCACATCTTTCTTACTGAGCAATATAGGAGATTCGAATCCTTGTTGTAAGCCAAAAATGGCATGTATAAGAAAAAAAGTATACAATGGAAAAGCGCAGAAATGGCATCATCGTTTTTAAAGTAAACTTATGCTAGCCAAGCAAAATATGCACAATGCAGAAAAAAAATAACATTTATTGCTATACTTTTTTTTTTGCTTCAGTTAGAAAAATTAACAACAAACGTTCGCTATTATCATTTACGATCAAGTATTCAAAATTTAAAAGTGTGAGAAAATAATCTTAGTATATATTCATTCTTTTGCTATAATTAAATTTTTTTTCTCTTGCATTTCCATTTATTATTTAGACGATTCATGCATACAGTCAATAAGAAAGTGTGAATAGTTTCATTTAAGTGACGATTTGAGGAATAACTATAAAAAAGAATCAGCAAAGACCCATTGATGAATATTATATTTCATTTGAAGAAAAGATATATTTTTGTCTAAAATGTCATTGGTTGTAAATTTCATCATTGAAAATAACTTTTCTACGTTGTATTTTATTTTTTTAATATTCCTTATAAATTACACTTTGACAAATAAAGTATCTTTATAGAATTTGTAGGTATAGCAGATGCTGCTGCAATAAACTTCTGCATACATCACATTCATTAACAGTGGATACGGAGAAAACTAAATATTGTTAAAACCTCAGAATACTCTTGATAGATATGATGTTCTTGCAAATACAAATTTTCAATTCTCTCTGCTCAGGAAGGAACACTATCGAGTGATACACAACATTTGAACTCTCATTTTTTTAATGAGTAAAGTTGATGGCTAATATAAAATAACTAAAAGGATTTGCGCTATTGTTGCTTAGTTTTCGAGTAAAGAGTGAAACAATTGTCACCATAGATAGCTCTACTGTGCATATGTTATACTTTTTGCTTCTTGCCATATCTTAATTGTGACATAAGCTTTCAGTTGAAAATTACCAAAAACTTTTCTCATTTATAAGTTTTTACACAAAGAATTCTCACTTGCCTCTGGCTATGCCTTCAGAGGATGGAAAAGAGTTGTTCTTCTGACAATTATTCTATTATAAACATACAACGCATTCTCAAAGAAGCAAGAGAAAATATTTTTCTTCAAGACCTACAGAATAGAACCCTTTTGCTGCATCACATTCAGCTTTTGATTTTTTTTCCTTGAATGTGACCTTTTCCAATCACAGAAAAAAATAACTACTAATAGAAACAAATATATAAAGATGAGGAGTGCATGATATTATTGGTATTCTAACTATCATCTGAAGGTATCGACAATCAGAATATGGGTGGGATGTGAATGTGGGGTGGGTGGGGTGATGCGTGTGTGTTTGGGCGTGCTTGTGCTGAAGACAAACCCCTACATCCACCTCCACACATGCACACCCACACCCATAAGAATAATAAATTTCAAGACAGACCTCCACAGGCAACAAAAAAAGCACAATGTTGGTACTTGTCAACTGACGACGCGTTCAATGTACTCAAATTTTCTTTCTGATAAATGAATAGAAGAAAATAAGTAAGCGTATAGGGTGGTAGAGAATTTCAAACTCTATCGGAATATATAGTTACTTTTTTTTCAAAAGATAATTTTATAGTGATGAAAAATTTTTAAAACTAATTTCTGTGACAGTGACAAAATCAAGTCTGTGGAAATCTGGACATAAGGGTACCTTCATTATACTCAATTTTTTTTTCGTAATAATGTATTCAAACGAAAAGACAAATATAGAGGCGGATAGAAAACTCCACGCGCCTTCCGAATATATCATTATTTTTTAAAAAATACGCTGCTATGCTAATGATATTTCAAAAATACAGAGTAAAGCTTATTTTTTTGGGTTCTGTTTCACTTTCGATCCTTTTAACACCCATCAAATTTCTAACACTCGGACACTGTCCTATTGATGACTTATTTTCGACTCATCTTATATACTTCGAGATCTTAGTACTCGTCGAAGTTTCGAGCACTTCGGGAGACGTCACCTATCGAGATAATGCTATCGACTCCTCTAACACATTTTGGGTGCGAGTCGGTGGGTGGGAGTGGGGTGCTGCAAAGTACTACATTTCCAACTAAACCCGCATCTTAATCTCATCCAGAGACAGCTGAAGTCAATCACTGTCATTTGGAGCCGATTGCTACCATTCGAATGGCGCCAAATGAGCTTTTTCCTTCTTCGATCAAACTCACATCCACAGCCTACAAAGTACGCTCACATCTGACATTCAACATTCTCGCACACACGCCAACACCTCTCACCCGTACTCCACACTCCTGCACCCACGCATCCATATCCACTCTTCAAACTAAGACATATTCAAATATTTTCTGCATCAAAATATTAAGTGTTAAAAACTGAACATTTTGGTGCATTTAAAAAGTGTGGATGTGCATGCGTAGTGTATACTCGCATTCATACTCAAGCCCACACCCAAAAATTATCCCTATAGGTCTATCCACCCTCGCCTGTTTCTAGAATTTGCCAAAGGACTGTCACCCTTCTAATTCTGCATTACGCCTTTGATAAAAACATTTATTTCATGCAATTTTTGACCTTTCAAACAAAAAACCAGTTTGCAAAATAATATTTCGTTAACTCCTGTTATTTCTGTATCACGGATTTTTTATTGACTAAATTTCTAAAATGAAAAAAGAACTTTCGAAAATATACTTATTTACGCACTTTATGAAGCAAACAATACTTTAGCGTTCTGTGTGTTGTTCTTTCTCATAAGAGACAAATAAAAAGCATTAGTCGGCTTCTTTTGTGCACGAAAGTATATCTACAACAGTCGTCGGGTAAACTTTTGCTGTCACAGAAGTAGAAGAAAAAAACATTCTGCGCATATCAAGTAGGTAGTTGGTTGTCAAGAACATACAATCATTTATTTAGGCAATTTCATTTTGTAAATATTCAAAGAAAGAAAAACAGAAATGACGCCTCTAAAAGAATGGCGTATGCATGAAAACATCGATATTGATCCATCTTTATTGATAGACTGCAATATCAATAAATTTAAAAATCCTAAAAACGTTTCAACATTCTACGATGATGATATATTAATATGGTTAGATAAATGTATTCATGACAATGAACAAGATGATCAATATTCAATTTATCAACTTCGTCGTTTAATGAATTCATTTCTTATTTTTACAAATGAAAAAGAATGTCTGCAGTTTATTACTAATTTTACAACTACAGAGCATAAATTCTTTATAGTTATATCCGGTTCATTAGGTAAAGATTTAGTTCCGACTATAAATTGTTTATCACAGATTGATTCAATTTACATTTTCTGTGGAAAGAAAATTGAACATGAGTATTGGGCAAAAAATTATGAAAAAGTTAAAGGTGTTTTTAATAACATTAAAGATCTTGGTGTCGATCTTACAAATAATAGACAAAAATATGAATACAGTCCATCAAAAATCAAACATTCGATAGATTTATCATCGAAGAAACTTTCATTACCCTGTGAATCCAATGATATCATCAATTTAAACAATTCTACATATAATAATTTTCAACCATATGACAATATTCAAATATCAATTGCATCAGCTGATATTCCATTTAATAATAAAGAAAATTGTTCATCGATAAATGAAATAGAAATAGACAACAATATAGAATCTAGTCGAAATGTTATTCCATTCGTTCAATATAAACAACAGATGGAATTTTCCGATAATGGTAAATATCAATATATTTAGAAAATTGATCCAATTTTACTTTGCTTATGATTTCAGGTATTTGGCCATGTGTATTCGTTATTGATCGTGTACGCAATGAAGTTTTCAACCATCTTAATTTGGTTCTCGGAACAGTCAAATATTCTAATTCTATGGAAAATTGTTTAGAACATGTTTGTCAGCATCGCGATGATCCACATTCAATCATTTTATGTGATCTAACAAATATTGAATATTTACCTATACTAATTCGTTCTAATGTACGAAATATATATATCTATTGTCCAAATACATCTTTAAAAGATTATTCTGTATGGAATGAAAGATACCCAAGTGTTATTTGTGCAATGCAACATATTGAAACTCTTACTCGTTTGATTATTTGGGATTTATCTGCTTGTATTGTAAATATTGGAAACTATTATAATAATCAAAATCAGAAAACTATGGCTCAAACTCGATATCGATATGCATATCGTCTTCATATTGTTTTTCGCGAAAATTTAAATGATACGATGCGGATGTTCGAAATTATTGATCAATAAAATGCACCTGTATGAAGAATGATAAAAAAGAGTCTACTACATTGTTGATTATTTTCTGTTGTTATGTTTTTTCTTTCATTGTTGTCATTATTATTTGTGCTCGATCATTTTTGATCGCTCTATTATGTTCAAAGCTAATGCTGGCTTTGTGTACATTTTCAGATTATTATTATTATTATCATAAATAGAAGAAAGTTATTCAACTCACGTACGTATTAACGATTCCCCAGTGTAATACAATTATATGTAGAAACTACAAGTTTTTTTAAACTTTGAAGAAATTAAATTGACCTAAATTTTTTTTTTCTTGAGTTAGTCAGTTTTTGCGAACAGCTCAATATTGTAAAATGCTGTTTCATCTATATAGAATATGCATTTTAGCTTCAAAATCATATTGTGAAATTTTCAAGAACAACTCCTATATTAGATTAGACACTTCAACATGAATTTTGTTTTTTTTTTGTTTTGGATTTTCGATTATTCTGTTTTATTTTGCCGTTTTATCTTATCGTGGTATTTTTTCCCCTTGTCCCACATCTTCATAAAATCTTTCATTCACCATTCTTTTTCACTTTGTAATTTCTCATGTCAACTATAATTTAATTTAACAGAGGCCAAAATAAAAACAATAATCATTGAAGAATATTGTTAAAATGGAGTACGAATAATGTCTTATAGGTTGACACTATCATTGATGTGAGGTGGAAAAAATTTCATTTTGCACATCTGTAGCCATCGGATTGGTACATCCTTTAGTTTGCTCTCAATTTTTCATCTTGGAATATCCGAATGACAAATAGTTGATGATTTTTTTTTGATTGAGTTAATCTTCTATTCATATATTCAAAGTTCCTGAGCACGATCTCATTGCTTTTTAAAAAAGAGTATTTTCGTTATAAGTTGAAATCTTAGTTAGTTTGCCACGATTTTAACTTTTACCATTATATTTAATTTTTCGTTGATATGTATTACACATTACTAAAAAACAATTTTGAATAGTATTTTAAGGTGAAATATCAAGCTATAATAAAGTAATAGAATGGCCTCGACAAATTTTCATCGATGTCCATTTCATCAGTATGGCTGTAAGGATCCAGTATGTTCATTAAATTGTTTTATTTTTTTTGATAAATATTTAATTTTAGTTTTCACAAGATCAAATAAAAGAGCACTATTTAAGTCAGGCACATTTTAAAAGTATGATTAACTTAATCTGCTCCAAGCGAATTAAATATGAAGACGCTCTAATTGATCTTGCAATCAATCCATTCCAGGGTGATATACTTTTATCTTCAGGAAACACTGAGTTAAATAATTATTTACAATTAATTGAACGACTGACTAATGTTGTAGCTGAATCTGTTACATCTTCAAACTTAACAAATGTCACTTCAAATGCTGAATCATACATAGATCAAAGTAAAATTGTCTAAAACTTTTCTCTTCTTCTATCGTTTCACTTGAATAGCATTTAATCCAATTCAATCTCGTGCAAGAGATTTAATCATAGAGACTGACAAAAGTCCAAATTGTACTTCCACCATGGAGTCACATCAAAGACTAGATGAATTGAATAATATGATGATGAATCAAATTTTCAGTCGTATCGAATCGTCATCTAACGTCGATGAAGTAAATCAGCATAGAGAACAAAATGAACAACAACAAACCTCATCAATTAACAATGAACACAACGTAAACACACATAAAATAATTCTATTCTATAAAAATAAATTTTATCCATTTTAGACTATACAATTTAATGGGTTTTTAAATGACATGTTTCAAATTGAATTAGAAAACACACCTGTCTCAACGGATGGTAATCTTGTCCTACGTATTGATAATGTGTTTACAGAAGCCGAAGATCTGACTATTGAACGACAATTATGTATTAATTCAAAGCAATTCCAAGCATTTGCAGGTGGTCAACGGCTCTTTGCTCGGGTTCACCTCAATGGCAAAATCAACACTAAATTTATATCATTTCATATGCATCTGAATTTTCCAGTTCGTGATACTTTTATTGGTCATATTAAATTTATATTGGTTGATCAAAGTGATAATTATCCATTAAAACATATTATAAAATACTGCTCAGCAAAAATGTATAATGTCAATGACTGTATTGGATTTGATGATTTTATTGATAAAACTCACCTTCGTCAAGAATCACATCGATATATTCCTAATAATGCAGCTTATTTCATTGTTTGTGTTGAACAACCAAATGAAGAAAAATTGATTCATTATCCAACCAATGTTCGGGATGCTATATGTCAAAGTTATTTGACATGTTAAAACTATTCAAGAATGTGGAAATAACATATTTAATCAAGCTTATATCTAATTTTATTCTGTACTCATTCGTATTTAGTGCGACGTTGAATTTTTATCTTATCCTATTCTTTATTCTTGATATATGTTTGGTATCGTGCAAGAAAAAAATCGAGATTAGGGGTGGTGTGGATGCAAATCTTCTTTCAAATCACAGCCACACCCAGACCCACAAAATAATTGTGAGGCTAATTTTTCTTTTGATGAATATAATCTGGTAAAATAAATGATCACAAAAAAAGAATGGTTGATTGATATACGATCGGCGCGCCCAACAACGGTGTGCGTGTGCATCTAAATAGTTTCCTTTGAATGCTGACATTCAAATCCCAAACCTAGACAGCGATTGATAGGTTGTGTTGAAAGCATCTTTAATAGATGCGAGAGCAGATTTTAAGATGATTGAAGGAATAGCAACAAAAATGCAGAGGTATTTTTAGAATCAACTAATGACATCTCTAGCCTTTAAAATGTTCCATGATCGATGACGACGATTCGTGACTGATGCTGACGTTACGGAATAAGGAGGGCAGCCAATCATTTTTCTGTAATTACAGACACTTTGCGTCAAGCGAATACATGAAAAAAACGAAAAGAATGGAACAAAAAATCGATCTAATAAAACGTAAACAACATTCTGAAGTAGAAAAAAGAAAGTTGGTATAAAAAAAAAAACTAACATACTATCTTTTAATGCTCCAAAATTTATGTTTTCGGTTTGATTTCTTCTAATCATGTTTAAAGGTAGGTTTTCTTTTGATGACATAAACTATTGAATTTCATACGCCACTGATGATTATGTATTCAATATCAAAGTACATATTTTATTCATATTTCCAGTACTATAATCGATAGATTGTAACCTTTAGTGCAACCATATTTTTTATGCCTTCTTCAATCTAGTGAGCCTAGTTTTTGTAATGACCAACGATCGCGTTTTCAGAACGATATGTACTATTAGATAATACTTTGGGCATACCAAAAGTAAGAATTCTCTATTTTTCTGTACTACTTGATTACTCTTCAACAAATATCATAATAAAAAATTTTCGATGAGAACTGTTTTTATGTGTTACTTCACAAATTTGTAAGGCTGATTGAATGGCCATATGTTGCAAAAAATAAAATTTCCTCTTAGATGCAAAGTGAAAAATCATAGGATTTGGGTAAGATTGTTTATTTAAATTCTATACTACTTGTTTGCAAAAACAAATCACTTTTTTTTCTATACGAAGAGAAATTCTTTGTTTCTTATCTAAAATATAAATTATTGAGGTGGTATACAAAAGTAGTTCTTATCGAGATTTTATTGTCATAACAGTTCAGGAGTAATCAAATAGCACAGAAAAGCAGAGCGTCGTTTTCTTTATCACAACATAAAAGCGTCATTACTTTTGGTATACTCTAAGTATATGTTTGCTACTATCGAACTAAGTAATGGGCATTACCGGATTCCAGTATTTCCATCCACCAATCACCTAGAAATTTGTTCTAACTCTAACTTAACGAGTTCTATCCATTTTCTATAACTCAAATCACAATTTTTATATTTTACAAAACATTATATCTTGAATCTGGATAAATCTCAGTATACTCTTGGATAGAGTTCATTGACTTGTACTCTAAATCAGTTCTTGGAAGAATCTAGTTAATAACTTCAACGTCAAAATCTTTGTTGTTAACAATCAATGTTACTATTTATTTTTAGAAAACAATTCAAAATGTCATGCGTATCTCTACTAACACTACCTGTTGAACTAATTTATCGTATCTTTGAACATCTCGATGCCGTATTTATTATGTTATCGTTTCGCAAAGTATGCCAAAGATTCTGTCTGATCAGTAATATGTACGATCAACATCAATTATGGATTAGTTTTTCACAATTAGATCATGTGAAAATGATTTCACGTCTCATTCGTCCAGAAAACATAGTTTCCTTAGTATTTGATGATCAATCGTATGAAGCAGTTTCATATAACTTATTTTTCTCTGTATTCGATGTGAATCGATTTACTCGAATTCAATTCATCACATTAAATAAATACAACACACTTTATAAAGATAAGTTTTTAGAGTTAATTCGAAAGATTCATTTGGTTTCATTTAACATGAACACATGGTCGTTTTGTGGAAGTCTTGATTTGATTCTCATTTCAACAATCATTACACAATCGACTCTTCGCAAACTATATCTTACTTATATGCCCTTCAATAATAATTCTATCCTATCATGGCCACAGTCATGCACAATAGTTACACTCACAATTCTATTATGTTCATTTACAGACTATGTCACTATTCTGGAACATTCAAAACAAGTAAATTCAACATTGAAAAATCGAATCCATTGAATTCATTATCGTTTACTGCTAAAATCTATCCAAAATCAAAGTCATTAATAATAGATGATGTTTCCTTGTCAATGACTGAATTCAAATTCGTTCTATCATTAACACCATCACTTGTATGGCTTCAAATTATTTCTAGAACATCGGGTGTCAATGGTCATTTGAATGGTAATCTTTGGGAATATCCATTCATGAATACATTACCACAATTGAAAACCTGTCAATTTCTTTTTTCTCATTCCCAATGTTGCGACGATGACTTGCAAGGTCTCGATGTAATTGTTCAACAATTTTCAACTCCATTTTGGTTAACAGAAAATAAAATAATTGTCATATGTGATTATATTTTCACTCAAAAACTCATCAATATCTATACGACTTTCATATGCGTTCAAGACTTTATAAAACCATCGATACCAACTAAACAATATCAGCCTTTGGATTTCATACTGAGATTACAATCACCATTAACAAATGTTGAATATCCTCCAAAGACTCGTTTAATATATGGAACTAATGATATTACTGATTTACCGGTAAGTGCGAGATGACAGATGCGGAGTTTAATAGTTGTTTATTCTTACGAAACACGATCTGAAAAGAGTGTTACACGGATTAGAGCAGAAATTTTACATCCCCTCCCCAACAAGCTCTGATTGACACTTTCAACATACGATACAAGACTCGACATCAATATAGAATGTATGAACTACTTTTATTATTCCTGAAGTACTAGGTAAAGACTTATAGAGATTGCACGAACAGGTTTGTTCTATCAATATACGATATGAATCATAAATGAAAGAATCAAAAATTTCAGATATTGGAGGATTTCATTTCTTCTAACGATTGCAGTAATACTAAAAGATGAAAGAGAAATTTCGAAAAAGAAAACGGAGAGTAAGCTTTCTTCAATGTCTGGATATATGGATAGTTTTCAAAGGTTCATCGACAGTTTTATACAAAATCAAGATTTATTCGATTTTGACTCATTGAGATAGCCCTTTGTGTGTCTACTGTTGAAAGTTACATAATTTATTGAAATGCTTTTACTTTTGGCAGTTTCCGAGTATGAGCTCGAAAATTCTATGTCTATTTTTGTAACAATGAAGAAAAAGAAATCTTTGAAAGCCGCAAAACGGTTGAGTCGAAAATTTTTAATCGATAGTTGCCTTACCTTTGATCTTCACAAAAGTATTATAGACGAATGAAAACTAAAGATGACTTTCTGAATATGAACTCTAGAATCTCGTATCTGCTTCTTGCATGATAGTCGTGAAATAATCTTCAAACATTCTGGAAAAATAGATCGTTTAATCAATGCATCGGTGTTTGCTTGTTTTGTGAGTCCTCGGTGAATATGATAGTTTTGCAGAGCAAATAGTTCTCTACAAACTATGATGTCAGATTTCAATACAACTTTGATACGAGTAAACTCATAAGTATTTTCTAGAAAGCTATTTCTATATAAGATAGTTTCTGATTAAAAAGTCAATTTCTCAGAAACAAGGATAATAATGAAATAGTGCACTTTGTAGAGCAGAACTCGTTCTAGAAATTGATTAGCGAACTTAAGTTACGACAGTGAATGTTACATTGATATCTATTTTAGGTGGTGAAAACTACAACAAACGTACTGTCCCAAAACTTTTGACCCGGTTCGTTACTTTTAGAATAGAAGATTTCGAGTTCCTCTCAAAAGATGATTTGCTTTTGTTCTCAAAATTGTTGTAAACCTCGAGAAAGTCTTAAATTGAAGAGAAAACTGTGTTCTGCAACTTAAACTTTTCTTTAAAAACTACTTCTAATTTTTCATAATATCTTGAGGAAAGATTTTACCGCATCTAAATAAACGAAATTTTACGAAAATTAGGCTTTGTTAAGTCATAACCCCATGCGTTGTCTAAATTTCGATATGAAACTTGTATACGTTTTGATCTTTGATATCACAATTATTCTCAGTCAGATATTTTGTTCTAGGAGTCGATTTTTGAGTGACTATTATTTCCTAATGTGAACATAGAGCAAAAGTGCATGTTGAAAAGAATATGAATTACAAGTTAAATCAATTCTTCATGGTTCACTATCATTAAATCCATAAAAATTAGATATTTTAATATGATGCTCAAAGAAGGATATATTCGATTGACAAATCTTATGAAACAGAAAAGTATTATCTGAAGAGTGAAAGTAACTAATAATGCGAAAAAAAAAATATTGGGATAGTGGAATTCTACCAGCAAAAAAATAGTTTTGTAGCTATTGAATCAGTGCATAACAACTAAATAAAAATCTTTGCAATATTTGAACACATTTTTCAGTGAATAAATATTGTATGAATGTTATTCTATTTGTCTTTTTCTTTCAATTTGACCTATATGGAACAGACATTCCAAAAATTAACATTAAAAGACAGTAATTGGAATAGAAGGTATCAGATATCTTGCTTCTGCATTACGAAACAATACGGTAATTATTTATTTATTTTTCTATGATGATATGTAAAGATATTATTGTACAGACAATCAAGTGCATTTGTTTGAGAGATATTGCCATGGGTGAGACTGGTGCAAAATATATTGCAGAAGTATTAAGAAATAATAGGGTAATTCAGATGTCTTCATTGTCTTTTGTTTTCAATCATTTTTTACTAAAAAAAACAGACCGTACGTCTACTAAATTTGAGACAAAATCAGATCGGAGCTAATGGAGCAAAGTATTTAATCGATGCATTAAAAAAGAACGAAGTAAATCTTAATTTAATCAGTTACATACGTAGAGATTAATTCTTTCTTTTTATTGATTACACAGACCATCGAAAAAATTTATTTGAGAAGCAATGACATTGGAGAAGAAGGTGCATATTATATAGCTGATATGATAAAATGCAATATGGTAATTATTCTATTATCTACTTCACCTATATCTTGTACATTTTTTTGTTCATTATCAGAAAGCATTGATTGGGTTAGGTCTCAGTGCAAATAACTTTGGAGTTATTGGAACATAATATATAAGCGAAGCACTAAAGTAAAATACAGTTAATAAAAATTCTTTTTATCGTATCAATAAAAATTCAATTTATTTTTTACAATGTAGACAATCAGATTCATTTATTTGGAAGATAACAATATCGGAGAGCAAGGTGCACAGTTCCTTGCTGACTGGTGGAATAATAATACGGTAATTTCACAGTTGCAAACGATTTTTTTCAGGTTTTGCTATTTTTCGATTAAGACGTTAACTGCATTATCACTCGGAGGAAATCAGTTTGGAACCAAAGGAATAGAATATTTAAGTCATGCATTAAACAACAACTTGGTAACTGATAGTTATGCTTGTCTCTTGAAGGAAATCATATGATAATTTATGAAATAGACACTTCGCCGTCTTGATCTTGAAAATAATGCAATTGAAGACGATGGTATACGAATCTTGACAGAAGCTTTACATGATAATATAGTAATTTGATTGTTGATACATAATTTATTTTCTATTCGTTCTTTTCAAAAATAGATACTTTTTTCGCTTTGCCTTGCAAAAAATAACATCGGAAGCAATGGAGCACAATATATGATTGATTTACTCCGAAATAAAACGGTAATAATCATCGATTAGACTGAGAAATTGACGACTAACCCAGATTAAATTGCCGGATTTTATTAGAATTATTTCCTTAGGTCAAAGGAAACCATAGAATTGAGTTCAAGAGATAAATGAAAAAGAATTCTAAGTAGGTTCTATTGATACGCTTCGCGTTTTAAGTGAGTGATTATGATTTTGACAAAAATGAAACTCATTCAATTGTATCAACACTTACCTCAGCACTCTATTGAAACAAATCATCTAAATATTTCATTTACAGTTCAAACACATGATGAAAATGCTGTTGACAAGCATTTGTTTTTTTTTTCAGCAAGAAAATCAAAATTTTAAAATTGATTTCTATTATCTTGAAAGTACCTAATTATTTGTATTTAGCACATTTTCAAGGACATAGTAATACAAGCATATCTTTATCTCGTTCGAATAGAAAACAAAGCATTTTGTAGAGCTAAAAATCTTGCATTTTTATAAAAGAATGCCTTTTGTAATAAATCTAAACAATTGTAACAAAGTTTTTCTTAGAAAACATACAATAGATCATCTATCATAGGAGTAAAATTTTCAATCTCAGATTGACTAGGTGAATATCGATTGTTACACTTGTCTAAGCTTTTGGTTGAAGGAATTATGTCTTTCTTTCATAAAGGATTTGCTATACTACAGATAAATGATAGATACTTATATCAGATAGAATATATGATTAAAATTTGCTCGACATTAACTATGTTTTTGAAACCAGAACCAAACTGAGCAATCAAGTTTAACTTTAGAGAAAAGTTTAGTACAAGTTAGCAATTGGATTTAAACTTTGTATTATTGAATCAGGAATAAAAGAATAAAATCTGTCTTCATCTAAAATATAAGAATACCCATGTCTGCAATATCGGTAACACACTAGCGATGGATCACGATTTATCGAAACGATAGTCGTGCACTGAATCGCTATAGAAATGTCTATTTTTCTCGCTTGATTTTCTAAACAATTTCAACCCTTGCTTTGCCGATGTTCTACGCTAGGTCATACATATCGATCCTTAATTTTTCTCATTACTTACAAGAGAATCTTCGACAGCATAGTCAAAAATATAATAAAACACGTACATATATATATATTTATACGAATTGAATGTTAAAATTGAATTTTATTTAGACAGATTCTATATGTATGTTTTTCAGTTTCAGTTTAAAAAGTTCAGGAAACAAAAAATGTATAAAATGATGAAAGTGATACAAAGTATCTTATCTAATAGAAATATATTATTCAGATTCAGAAAAATGATCCAAACGAAATAAAGTTCTCCTTTTGAAAGTAAATTTTCTTACTTTTAGTAAATAATTGTAAAGAACAATTATATTTTATTTCGTGTTTCTTAAAGGCTAATATATCTCTTGAATGAACTCATACTTCATCATTAAATGCCGAAATCATCAGTTATGTATGATTTTTGGAACTCAACACTTCTCTTATAGAGAGAATAAAATCGGATGTGATTGCTACTTTTCTAATGAAATGTAATAAATGCCTATTTTATGCCGACTTTTTTACTAACCATTCAATAAATCGAGAAACTGACAAAATCTGTAAGGATTTTAATGCTTTCGGCAGCCAATTATTGTATTTCACTATTCGAACAATATTCAGTAGATTTATTATCCATGCAAATCCTAAAAGGAATTTATCGATAGTAAAATCAATATACCAACAATTTTTCAAACCTATGTACCACTTTTACAATAAGAAACTCAATGATAACAGTATAATCTTTCGTGTTCTTTTTATATTTCATCGTTTTTGTTATGCTATTAGTCAATATTATAAATTCATTTTCTCTTATGTTTATAGGATCTCAGGATGCTTGATCTCGCAGACAATAAAATCGAAAGCCAAGGAGCATTGTACATACGGGATGTTCTACTGGATGAAATGGTTTGCATAGTTTTCAAGCTTTTCATCTTGAGATTTTGATTATTTTTCTTTACAGGCATTAAGAAGTCTGAATCTTAGTTCAAACAATACCAATGATGAAACTATGCATGAACTATATGAATCTTTTCAAAACAACCATGTAATCCTCGCAGAGTATAAAGTTTTATGCAATGCATCAAATAAAATTTTTTCGTCTAGAAACTTGTTCAATTTGATCTGAAAGGAAATGGTGAACACAACGCTGTTGGAATTAGCGCAAGTTTTCAAATACGAAATGATAAGGTGACTAAATTTTTTCCTAATATGAAATCTATGTTTATGTTTTCAATATAGAAACTTGTGAATTTAGATCTTCGTTCGAATAAAATTAACGATAGTGCAATTAAATATATTACTAATAATTTAGAAACAAATAAGGTAAAACAAAATAATCCTATTTTGATTCTATTCGATTTTCGTGATTTTATGTAGACTCTTCAAATACTAGATCTACGAAATAATGATATAGGAGAGAAAGGAGCAAGAGACATTTATGATGCATTGGGAAATAACAAAGTCAATAGAGTTGCTGAACTTGGTTATTTTTCTTTAACTCAATTTTTCTTTTTTCATTTAGACATTAAGAAAACTTTATCTCGCTAATAATCAAAGACATTTGTGTCAAGTCATTGAAATAGCTTTTCATTTGAGTTTGAGAAAAGTAATTTAAAAGATTCTTATTCATATGCAGTTTATTTTCACGTTTATGGTACCAAATAGACTGTAAGCTCATTAAATGTTCCAAATAATCAAATCGATGATGATGAACTTCAGTATTTAATTGAAGCTGTATCAAATAAAAATGTAAGTCAATACTATAGTTATAAATGCAATTTTCTATTCATTTTTATGTCTAAACTAATTATTGATTTTTCTTTTGGATTATTATTACATTTATGGAAATGGTGAGCACAAACAACTTCAGCATTCTGATTTCAAGAATATAAAACTTTGAAAGCTGGATATATCAGTTGTATTTGGACATATCGATGTGTCAAGAATTTTCAGCTTCAAATAGGGTTCAGCAATTAAAATTTGTCGCATCTGATCAATAGAAAAGGCTTACAAAGTTGAATTCATTCCTGTAACGTATAAAAGAAAAAGAATGATGTTGATTGATTTCTTTCACGTATAAGTAGAAACTTGTCTACTAACAATCGAGATGATAACGATGAAGTTGAATATGTTCAGCTCTAGCTAATAAAAACAAGTTAATGGAGAAGATTTGAATAATACGGAATCGCAATAATTTATTCGATAGGAACTAGAGAACACTTTATATTTTGATAAAATTCAGCGGATTGAGAGAAGGCACATTGATCATTTGGCGCGATATGAGTTATCCAAGTTGAAGGAAAATATGTTCATCATTTGACATAACTGTCTTTATTCTTGTCACGTTAGGACGATGTGATTGTTGATGATATATTAAAGAGCAGAATGTACATCGCTCGATATACCATCAGTTACCTTTGTTCAGTTAAGATAACGTGGTACTTGGTAGAATATTCAACTGAGATCAAAACCCAAGTTCCGTTTTAAATCTATGATTTAAATCGAAATTTTCACAATATCTTCAACTCTGAACTCTAAATCGAACCAAACACAAGTTACAGCTCTAATCCTGAGATCAAATTCTATACCTGTATAAAGGATTCTATTATTTTTTATGTTGATTGCGGCAGTACAGGGATAAAGACTGTCTTTCATAGATCTCTATGTGAAAATAAGAAACTATACCATCGTTTCACTTCTTACACGCACTTCCATTCAGCACCTCACACTGTCTTCGTACTAAAATCGTTTGTGCTCACCGTTCCGGTTTCCAGTTTTCTCGTGTCTTTCGAAGCACTTTCATTTAAATTTACAGTGATATCTATAAATTATCTATACTTCTTAGTATAGAATAATGTGTCTATTTTAGTACATTCTTTATTCTTTAACTATTAGAAAATAAAATCAATTTACCTTCAAAAAAATAAAATCAACGACACCGGAGTAAAATATCTGGTTGATTGGCTAAAAATTAATCAAGTGAGCTGCTATTAATATCTTTTTAATAGTTCATTATAACTGTTTATAGACCGTTCACACGATCGATCNAACGCGTTTTCAGACAAAACACGCGTTTACACGCATGCAAAAAGGAGAAAAACTGGTCGTTTTTTCAGACTCGGGATGCTCGATCATGATTACTGTCACGTTTCTTGAGCTGGAAAAACACAACAATTTTTTTCTCCTTTGTGTATGCGTGTAAACGCGTTTTTTGTCTGAAAACGCGTTTAAACGCACAAAAAGGGCGTTTTTGGCTCACAGTCGGGAACCTCAAGTGTGATCCGAAAACGTCCACTTTTTGCTGATTTTAGGCCAATTTCTGTACGTTTAAACGCGTTTTCTCAAAAGTTTGTCTGCCTGGGAAGATATTGGAAGAACCGTATTGAGCGCTCGAGTACAAACAAGCCGACCATAAAAGCAGTTTCAAGTGGTTAAGTTAATTTTGAGTTTGTACAATTTCTTTAACAAGAGATTTGCAAATGTCTCCTTCATTAAGCTACCTTGCATGAATGATTTAAATTGCACGAATCTTGTTCTTAATTGCATAACTTTGTAGAAGGTAATTGGCATAAAATGATGAAAAACCACAAGTAAGAACAAAATCTAAAGTAATGTTAAAGAAAACAAGATCTTAACGAATATTGTTGACTGTTTGAAAAAAATTTAAAATTTTGATTTTGTGTGGGTGGGTGTGGCCCTGATTAATCTCCAAAATGAACTCACATTCATACCCACATCAGCAACCACACCCACATCTACATTTACACTTACACCACACCCATACCCTGACCCCATCCACTCCCGATTATGGATGTCTAAATATTTGAAATAGAACTTAGGAATC